CAATCACAGATTCTAGCCTACGTCTTGGAATATGACCCAAATAAGAATTTTCACCGTATATTGCCATCAGAACAAGTAACAAGTCTGCCACGTTTGTTCTGACCAACTGAGGAAAAAAGCATTACAATAAATCGCGCTACCAATGGTGATTTAATCTAAATTAGCTCATATCACATCAAAGCGTGCAAATTTTTATTATTGTTATACTTTATTCTCAAATTGTTAATGTTAACAACATCAGCATTGCGTGACTATGAGTATAGTGTGTATAAGCAAGTAGATTGAAATTTCTGTACAGTCTAATCTCTAATGGTCATACCACTCGAATTTCATATTAAGAAATTCTTTTAACCCAAAAAGCAAATTATGCTCCCTTCGAACTGGTTGTCTTTAAAATACAAATCTTGTGTAAACCGATCTGTAATCAGAAGCACATTTAAAACTGGAATATAATTTAATTTCATTCACATGTGTTTCATAAACACATAGTACTTTCTGGATTATAATCCGCCATCAAAATGATACATTTAATTATTCCAGCTGCTGTGAGAAAAGGCTATAAACGATCCGCCACCTGCAGGACCACTCAAATTAGAAAACATTATTATAAGATGACCGTTGTGAATCGGGCTAAAGTAAGGTGATAGTTTCGAACACTGGCTGGTTATGTACTTGCTCAAATATTGATTTCGGATCATTTTTAAACAAAAAAATTTACAGACTGCAGCTTTAAATACAAATTAGATAAAAAACTTTAAAAACTATGAAAAATGAACTAAGTGAAATAAAATAAAATAAGTTAAAGTTTAAATACTAAAATTAATGTGAAATATTAAAGTGAAATAAAACAAATCTTGAAGCTAAATAGAAATATAAAAACATATAATAAAAACATAACCAAATTACTAAAGCTTAAATTACATTTAAAATGAAACAAAAAGAAAAATATTTTAAAAAAAATAACACAAAATTTAAATAACAGCTAATACAAAATATTAATAAATACTATAATAGTACATAAATAATCCTTTTAATCCTTTATTATCTAACAACTATCACAAAAATATGAAATATGATGATACTGGAATTTAGTTTAAAGGGGAAAAACAATTTAATTAATTAATTAATTAATACATACAAACATACATACATAGCTATAGAAAAAAAACACCTGTGTGTTTTCACCTGCAACTAGGCTACTGCTCAGTGCTTATATTTGTACATACAAATAAAACCACTATGCTTAATGAAGAACACTGCTAATGCATGCGCGCGCGCACACACACACACACACACACACACACATCCCCGCAAGATTCCATTCGCAGGCGAAGCCGTTTGTGACCGCAACGTAGTGAATTGATCCGGACAGAGAAAATAGTTTCAGAGTTCAATAAACATTTAACCCGAGGTGTTTCCTTACAGAGAAAAAAACACACACAGAATGAACAAGAAAATAATAGAAAGAGATTGAGCGCATGAAATAAAGAACAATAACCGAAGACTAGCCCTCGCTAAAGAGAGCAGCACTTCAGGTTAATCTGAAATATTCACTTCTTTTATTTCTCT